GGTAATAATTGTGCGCGGCTCGTTTCACGATGAAAACGCCGGGACCTTTTTTCCAACCGTCCGCGTCCGCGCACCACCGGATGCGCTTCCCAGAACATCCGACTTATCCCCCTCCGCGCCGACGCGTTATCACGCGAGCTTTCCGTGAAAGCGAGCCGATCCGCGTATCCGCTCGTCGCTTTTTACTCTCCCGATAGCAGAACCCTTCCCTTCCCCGTGAACCGGCGGAGATCGATGGAGTCTGTCCCTCGATTAAAATTCTGCGCTACGCCTGTTCGCGTCGCGTTGCAGCCAGAGGAGTTGCGGCCCTAAGAAACGCGTTATCTCGCCGTCGCGTACGCCGTGATTACTTTCAATCGCTCGCAGGTTGCAATAATCTTTTTAGATGAGCGAAGCAGATACGGATGTATATAGGGAAAATACCCGCGCAAGTAGCAAAGTTCAATGTAATTCGTCGATCGCCAGATGCAGGAGATAGATATTTTTCGACGACGAAGTGACTCAGGTTCCGGCTTGTGCTCGCCGCGGGAATTATGTTCAATGTCGATAGCAAAAACGCGTATATTTAACGGTAAAACGCGCGGCGTGTGTGAATCTAACGAAACTCACGTCACGCGAATGCCGGCAGCACGCGTTCGACTTCGAAATCGTCGTTAACGTCGGTGCGCGCTTGTCTCTATTAGAAAGGCTCGCGTATACCGTCAAGGCTACAGGTAATCGGGATAATTTGATGGGATTGTACCTATCAGGAAAGGAGGAGGCGAACGGGCGACGGCGAGGGGGTGGAGGGGGGATGGGGGCGAGCGAAGGAGGGAGACGGAGGAGGCCAGAGAGGCCGAGAGCAGTCAAAGAGAAGTTCAGAGGGCCAATTTACCGGACGAGATTAAGCCCGCGAGAAAAAGAAATTGGAATCGAGACGAAAATTACGGATCCCACGTTGCCCGCCGAGTCCTTTTTTCGTCCTTCCCGCGCCGCGCCCCAACACACACGAGCGGGTTTATTTCCGAAAGCGACGGTAAATCAAACGTCGAAAAATGCGCGCACGGCACAATATTGGTATCGGACGTGATCGCCGTGCTTAAGGGAACGAAATTCAAAGTCGAACCGAGATAATCTCAACTTGCGGAAACCAAAATGAGTTAGGTTCACACACTTAACGGTGTCTTAATGTCGCGTATAGTATACAGATACATTTATTCCAGAAGTCTCAAGTTTCAATTTGAGCAAGAGATCAATGACAAACGAATCGTTCGATTAAAAAAAAAATACAACGTCAACGTTTCGAAGACATCCAGAACCGTACGATATTTTCCTTCTCGTTCCCTCTTATTGTCGCGCACTCCAGACGAGTATCATGACGCACTTGTTGCGGTTTCACGCGAGTATCGCGAGGCGGATGCAATGAAGATTTGATAACGCGCAGTGCGACGTTACGGCATGTCGAGAGAGAGAGATTAAGATGGCTAACGCAATTGTGCGATGCAACACGGTCAAACAGTTATCGAATCAGAAAAGGAAAATATCCTGTGTATTTCTTTCGATGCAGATAAAACAGCGATTGTGTATCTTGAATCGTTTCTCATTTTTTATATTATTAAATTCAATATTGATCTCCGATATTAATCGCCGCGAAGATTAAGTAACGATGCGAAATTGATCTCTTACGACAATATTAACTTCGAGATGTGTCGTAACTTGTCGTAATTACATATACGAGGAAGATGTACGATTTAAATCCACATCTCTCTCGGGCATGCACGGGTTAAGTAATAGGACCGCCAACGATCCGCGAAACCACGGATGCTGAGCGGAACGCTCATATTCTCGATTCGTGCTTGCGGAGTTCGATCGATCGGCTGAAATGGACGATCGTGGTGCAACCGTTGAATTACAGCCTCTCGAACGATCGCGGCGCGGCGTGGCGCGGCGCGGTGGCCGGAGTCGTGCGTGCGAAATCAAAAATCACGACGATGACGCGATCGATCGATTATTCCGCGCCGCGAACGGATACCTTGTATACCGTGTGGCCGCGCGCGCGCGCGCGCGCGTACCGGGGAATGTTATTTCCCCGGAGCGATACAAAATACATAACCGCGGCGGAGGACTACCTGGACGGACCGAACTCTAGAATTAGAGACCTGAGTCATTAAAGTCCCGAAGGATAATTGACTGGTCTCGAAGGAGATTCGAGACTCGGGGGACCTACTCAGAAAAATGTCGGTGTATCGAAGCCAGAACTCCAAGTAATTACGCGTACGAGGGAGGAATATCCGGTTCGTATATCGGGACTCGGGAAGCAGAGCCCGAGGTCTGGAAATACCTACGAATTTTCACGCGAGCCATATGGCACCCCGGCTCCTCGTCACCCACGAAGGAAAGACCGGCGCACGCATACCGCACGCACGCCGGAAACGCATGGGTTTAAAAGCAAGGATGGTGTTTTTAGCGCTGCATGGGTCCGCTGCAGGCAATACCCGAAAAAAAATCGTGCCCCTAAGGATCTTTCTTTGAGGTTTCTCGAAACCGTCCTTTCGCCCGAGACCCCGAGACCTTTCGAGGAAAAATTTTCCGAAAAGGATTAAGTTAATCCGATCAACGTTCCAGCGAAAAAATATTGAAAATCCACCTCGTTATTTTTCTGGTGCCTGATAATATTCGATTTACATCAGAATTGCGAATTCCCGATATTTTTGATATTATATGCTAAACGTCAATCTCTCTCGGCAGCAAAGGACGGGAGGATAAATACGCTTCTTTATTTAGAAAACGACTGATTTCTTTCGGTCAAAGGCACTGCCGCAAAAAGACTTCGCCGATCGATACATAAGCAAACGAAAAAAAAGTTACTGTTTATGAGTACGTGTCGAGGAGACGGGGGGTCTCGCAAACAAACATCGGCCAACGATATTTTGCGTTTCGTCTAACGAGTTATCTCGATATACCATCACGTTCCATCAAAAAGGAATTTTAGACCGAGTCGATTATTGCACCGAATCATTAGGCGGTAGATTGAGCCGATCGGCGAGACCTCGCCTTTACGGTTGTTCCACTTTAAAATAACGTCTACCGCTCGTTTCTCCGCGCAACCAGGAGTTTCTATCACTTTTCCGATACAGATTGCGGGCATCAAAATCGAGACAAACAATTTCTTCGGTTTAATATTTAATTGTTTTATTTTTATAAATAATAATTTAAAAATTCCGTGTAAAAAAAAACAGAAATTAATTTTTGACACGTGTGAGCTTTCGTTGCTATTACAACAGCTTAACGCACGTAATGAAATCTAATAGAAATCACGAAAGCCCGCTTTCAATTACGCAAAAAAAAAAATACACGGGAAATTGCCCGGTGAACAATTTCGTGCGTGCGGCGTTTCGAGAAATCATCGCGCATCGTCATTTCCAACTGTGTAACTAACGTGATCGTCCGTCGTAAATTCATAAAAGTCGCATCGATGAATACGAATGAGAATACGCCGTGAAGCAATAAATTTCGTTAATACTAGAGATTTATGTACTTCGCCACGTGCGCCGATAAAAATGTAGTTTACGGCCCACTTTGAGGCGCGCACGTTCCTTCGACGTTATTAACGATATCGCAAACCCGTCGTTTTGCGCTATTTTCGCCGGTCGAGCCTCGCGGTAACCGCGGGGAAAGCGTACGCGGGGACGTTAATCCGGCTTAAGGAAGACCTTCGATGCATCCGTGCAGCAATATTTGGCAGTAAATCTGTGACGAGACTAAACAGCGCGTTTCGAAATCTTTACCTGCGGCCGCGCTTTCAAAATAAACAGCTTGACCCTCATCATGCAGCAGACCCGAGGAGTTTCAGACCCTGCCGAATACATGCTGCAGTCTTTTTTCCCTTTGATTACCAGGTATTATTAAAAGGTTTCTTTTGGGAAAGAAAGAGGAAATCTCGCCAGGTAAATGCGGGGCCCAAAATTCAACCCTGGAAACTCTTGTTCCACCCAACAAAATTCTATTATAGATCCGAACAGAACCCGCTTTACATCAACCGTGAATCAATTTAATAACCGGGTCGCAGGGCATAGGCTACGGTCCGAATGCAGAGCGAATCTTGTCTAATGCGAAGAGATTTTTATCTCGGCGGTCGCAAACGACGCGGGATGTGAGATGTGACTGTCACATCCTGCGAGCTACATATCCATTCGGTTCCGCCGAATATCGACAATATGATTTTAGTTTCTCGCGATGTCTCAGGTAGAAACTTGCTGCTCTTCCATGAGCCCTTTTCGATAGCTTTAATATTTATAACTGGTGTCCGTTTGAAAGAAAATACCCTCGAAACTCTCGATAACACGAGTACGGGATTGTAAAAATGAAGGTTTCCGTTGCAGGTGGTAAAAATAATATAGTCCTTAAGTATTTTTTTCAAATGGACATCAGCCGTGATGAGTGAAGTGAAATACAATACAGGGTGTTTCGAATTTCGGATAGGATTTCCTGAAATTTCTTTAGCATGCCCCCTTAAGTTTCCAGATAGTTTAAAACCCGGAAAGAATTTTTTTACATACACACAAGTTTCACATTTTCCAAAAGCTTACTTTTTCTAGCATGCTCCCTTAAATTATTGTTTAAAAATAGATTAAAAATTGATTGACTATTTTAGCGCACCCCCAGAAATTTTCAAACAAGATTTAAGATTCCTTTTAAAGTTGACTTTTCTATATAGCATGCTCTTTTAAATTTCCCGGTAAAGGTCTTTTAGATGCATATTTATAATAGGTTTTTTTCTCTATCGGTTTCTTTAATTTTTCTCTCACTTTACATTCAAAGTAAGAAAATTGTAAAAACCGATTCACTTCGGAGTATGAAACAGATAAATTTAGAAAAACGCTGAAAAATGATTTGAAATATAAAAGTGTAATCCTCTTTGGAATAAAAGAGGAAAAATCTGCGGATCTTCCGAGATTCGAATTTCGGGGAGAATCACTGGAGAATTTTCCCGAGGGGACAGAAATCTCGGTTCTAATTACCTGCGTGGCGTCCGAATACGGCGTGGGAGAATCCTTATTCACAAATAACGATCCAAACATGATTGTCACCCCCGAGGAACTCGAGGGGCTCTCTTGCTGCGTTGGCACCATTTTCGGGCCGCTTCCGAAAGAACTCCACGTAACACACTTCACTTCAATTGAACAACGACGTCAAGTCGGCGACTCGCATCACAATCGCGCGCGCTTTCGCCGACGACGGGACTCGAAGGACTATCTCTCGTCGTTTCGATCGATCACTCTCGTCGCGGACGATTCCCCTCGCGGGTCTTCTCTCACCAGATTCGACGGCACCTTCGACGAGACGGATCCGAATGATCTCGCGGCGCGAGACGGCGTGTTTCGCTGACACAATCCGAAAAAAAACCCCCTCGCTTCCGCGAAACGAAACGAAACTCGAGAAACGTTGCGTTCAAAGGATTGAGCGGCTTGTCGGCGGGCGAAAAATTACGAAAGGACGTAGTGTCTCCTCCCTCGTGAACGCGACTCGACTGTGGAGCGTGGATGATGGACCGTGGCGCGATCCAGCGCGTCGCTCGCTATCCCTCCGATCCGGCACTACGTAGGGAACACCTCCTCCACCTCCGGCTGCCGCGGCTTATCTGTGCGAGAGACGCGACGAGACTGAAGACTGAAGGAGTCTCTTTTACGGCCGCACGTTATATTCCGCAGCCACGTGCTCGCCGAGCAGCGATAAAAGCGGCGCGCGCGCTAATCGTTTACCCTTCCGTCGCTCGAGTGGACTCCCCCTTTTTTTCCTCCTAAAGCTCTCTCGTCCTCTCCCGGGTATGTATCCGGATATCGACGACGTGCACGCGCGTTCGAAGACTTTTAAACTCGTTATTTAGACTCCTCTCACAGTCGCTCGTCGATCACGAACTGACATCCTCGCCCGCTCCGAAGAGAACGTTTCGATGCTCGCTCCACGAGCGCTCATGAGCTACTAGTATCGCGTGATCGGCCACCCGAGTCTATAGCTCAACGCTCAGCTGTGACTGCTGTGTGAGGAGTATCCCTACTCTCGGTCGCGGCCACACCGCAGTCGACCAATCCGCATCTGACGATCTTCTCCCCCCGCCTGTCCCTCTTCGTCCACTGCACCTCCGTACACCGTTCGCACTCACTCCGCCGCGCTACGTCGAGTTGCGCGCACGCATACGCATGAGTGCGTCGCTTGCCTGCCTTTGCCTTGCCCGTCTATCCCTCCAATCGCTAATCAGCCACTGTCAGTGTCAAACACGGTCGCCAGCTTCTCGCCCCTCACGCGTTGCGCTATTATTTTTTTTTTCTGGTTGGGCCTCGAGATTTTAACTTGAACTAAGGGAGAGCCCTTACGGGATGATTATCTTACAACGGGATAGCAGAGGATGGATTTAATTATATTTAAAAAAAAAAATGATTGTATCGCAATCTTACTGTGTATAAAAAATGCAGATAAAAATTAAAAATCTCGCGTTGTAAACTCGCAAGAATTGTTCTCGGGTTAAAATGAGGACTCGAGTCTCCGGGTGTTTGTGTTAGCAGCGACGAGTCGGAGGCCGCGGATAGAAAATAAAATCCGGGCCCTCTTTAGTTTGGTTTATTTAAAGCTCAAACGTTATATAGATAAGATAAGGGCAGGAATACTCTCGGGGAGTAGGCGCAGATGAAAGCGAGTGACCTGATAGTCGGTGTCCTTGCGTCTTCCCGCGATTAGTTTAATCCTGGCCGCGCGCAACCCGGCGCGACCGCGAATATCGCGTTATACCGGTTTGGATACTCGGATGCAGCGCCTGCGGGGGCGTAAAAACATGCGAAATTAAGAGATTACGATCAGCGCGCGGCGTGCACTTTCTCATATGACGGGCTTTTGAATGCGTCCTTACGTATGCCGGATAATATATCTTGAGGAAGGCGTGTGTATGCCGCGGAGGAGAAATTTGAATCGTAAACCGTTAATTTAACCTCCGCGGCTTCAAAGCGACCTCCGAATAACGTCTTAAACAACGCTTTCTTCTTTGAATCAATTCTTCTTTCGAACTCCTACATTTTTATCGGCCCGAGAGTCGATCTCTCGGCAAAAGTGCGAATAAATATATATTAAATGTCAAATTTTTTTAAGTAAAACTCGCAAGGTAATCAAGTTTAATAAAATTTCACAGTTCTCAAGATCGCGCGCGGATAACTGTCGTATAAATGCAAAGTAATTTAAAAATTTTGTTTAATGCGAGATATTATGCATCTCTTCTGTTTAAAGAGAATAATTTATTAAATGAGCGATCTGCGCATTGGCCATTCCTTATCACTGTTTGCGCACATTGTTTGGTTTATCATAGTGCGCATCCGAGTGATCGTGCGACTGTAAAAAATGATTTCTTCCTGTTTCGCGTATTAAAGTGCACGGATACGGCGTCGTAAAGGAAAAAATGGCGAGTGTGGTAGACTTTACGCGTAAACAGGTTTAGTGCCAGCCAGCCCCGGGGTACTCTTGTTTCCTCGAACATAATGTTCGGCGCGCCGCGCCGTGCCTAGGGGAGTTGCATAATAGTATTCGAATCACATTTTCCATTCTCATAGAAATTCTCCGGAGCCGCATTAGCCTGGCCGAGCGTTTTCTGCGCGTTTCATTCCAGCTGGGGACACTTTTTCAGTAATTATTCCACGCGAAAACAGCAATCGAGACCATTTGTCTATTCAAATGAAAATGCAATAATGATATGTTGAATTTATTTCACACGCGTTACACGTGTTCTATAGAAATGATAATATCACGGAAGCCTTATGTTCAGACAGCTGGATTCTTGCGGTAATTTCGCGTCTCGAAAGAATTAAAGTCCATTCTAATCCTTATTGAATATGTCTTTAGGGCTGCATTCGAAGAGCGCGCTATTAGCGCTATTGCATCATTCTGTCTTTATCGCTCATCAGGTGTAAAACAAGGATAGAACAAGCAAATAGCGCTAATAGCGCGCTCCCCGAATCCAGCCTAGATCGCGAGGAAAAATAAGCCAAATCTAGCAGTAGTAGATTAAATTTTCTTTCGAGGATATATCACATTTAATTGTTAATAAAATTTGCAAAAATTCACAAGTGTTTATCAGTCCCATTAATCTCATTTCAATCTATCTAGCTGTCATCAAGAGGCAACAAATGTTCTTTGTAAATAAAATAGTAAGATGCGCGCGTTATTCAAATCTGCAGCAATTTTTATAATATCAATTCGCGTAATTTCGCGAGAGCTGGAATTATTGAGAGCTTTTTTAAGCTCGATTCCGCGATTTTCACGACGGTCACACCGCCCTTCATAGAAGTCGCGATTTTTTTCCAGTAAACGCTCCGATCTATAAATGCAGTACGGCAAAAGGCGCGGGGTGTGTGTGTGTGTGTGTGTGCGCTTGCCGATCGTTTTGCCTACAATGTATTTTTAGTAGCCACGCCAACACGGAACGGGGGGGTCGGGATGAGACGACTCTCTCGCACACGCGAGCGAGACGGATGCCCGCGCCGTCCAAATTCTTTATTTTGTGCAAACACGTCAAGAGAGGCGCACGCTCTGAAAGTCATACAAATATAAACCATATATACTGCCGGGCCTAACGAAACTCTTTCGGCGAAAACGGCGGACGCGCGACGAGCGGCGTCTCGTCTGCGTGCCGTCTTTCACGCTCGCGAGCCCGAGACCGCTTTCGACGAGGAAGCCTTGCGCAACGTGATCAGCCCGTGAACCGGAGTTCCCATGCTATCAAATAAAACCGCATCCTCCGACGCGACGTTTCAGAAATGACGATTCCCTCGCCTCCGCTCGCCTCGACGCGTTCCTTTTTCACGGTCTTGGAACACGGGCTTGGATCTCTTAATTTCTGGCAGAGCGACAAGCCGTTTACGTTTGCGAATACGTCGTTCTCACCTGACCAGAGAACTCCGTTTCTTTTTCCTTTTATTTTACGTCACTCTGTCAAGGTTAACCCTTGAATATAGGTCAGTTCAGCGAAATAGACCATTTCTGCGAAACGAGCGTTATTATTTTCAAGACTGAACCGTCAGGTTTCAGGAATTGATTAGTCCATTAGTTTCTACGAGCTTAAAAATAAGATCTTTAACGTTTAGTCAACGAAACGTGTCGATCTTATATCTACTTCGTATTCTCTCGTTCATCATATTTTCTGTCGAAAATATATCTTTTTTTATTTCCATTTTACACGAGGCGTAAATTTTCCGCCACAAAAGTGCCGTGCGACGCTTACGTATCTACATCAATAGAAGATGGTATATAGAGGATCAATAGAGGATCAATACTCTTTCCGCGCGTCGGTTTCCCGGAATCGCACGGTTTAGATCGGTAGACAGGTAACGAGACCCGGGATCGCGCCGAGAGAGGATCGGTGCGATCGAGGAGAATGGCGAGACGTCTAGGATTCGGCGGCGGTGTTCGTATTTCAAGAGCCAACATAAAAGCGATATAGGTCGGCGGCGGCGACGGCTTCGATCCACCCAAGGCCCCAAACGTTAGGTCCCCGCCGAATCGAGGCGAAGCAAAAAGGAAACGGTCTCACCGGGCTCTCTCCTCTCTCTCCCTCTCTCTTCTCGCTAACGGAAAAAAGTATCGTCCGGCCCGATGGGTGCGGTCTCGCCGCCGCTTTAACCGGATGCTAACTGCAACTTGAGAATACTAAACGCCGATGTTGAACGCCGGGCCGATGTTTACGAGAAGTGCACCGCCGATACTGTCCTATAGTCCCGCAGCAGTTCAGCCTCGCCTCCTCACCGTGATAACCGTCCGCTAGAAAAATATCTCATTACTGACCGACATCGTTACCGATGCCTCGTGTGCTTCTCTCAGCCTTTCGCAAAATTCGCAGCTGATGCGCGTATATCGGAGATCTGGCTTTGATTTTGTTTAGTTTTAAAAAGCGTAATGAAAGAAGCGACAAATGTTACCGGAAAACTTGCCCGACTTTTAATTGATACACTCAGAACAAGAAGTTTTAGTGTTAAGATATAGAACTTTAAGATATGCAAAGTGTACTCGAAGACTTTAAGAAGTCTACTCGAAGTCGTGGAATATCAAAGATTTCTAACTTTCTCAGATTACTAATGTAGAAACAACTGGAAGCTTCAAGCAAGCTAGCGCTATCACTCAGACTTCAGATTAGAGTATTTTTATGGAAATTGTACGTTTTTATTGCGGATCTCTCGCGTAAATTCGATCGTATATCAGGAAACATAATTCACTCACTCGAGATATACGCAGGCACGATCGCGATTTTTCGCTGACCCTGTTTAGCGCAATCCTAATCGCTCGTACAAAACGCGTAATAGATTTTCCATTCCGCACGCGCATTAAAAACATTATAAATAGCCGAGCGAGGAGATAACGCGTAATTCTTTTCGATCGCGCCGCGCTGGGACGCGTGTGTTGAAATCAATCAATGTTAAGCAGGGTCAATAGTCATGCGGCGGTGGTGCGCGATAAGGCTCAAGATCGGGAATTATCTGCGCGCGGTAAATACATTTAATCCCGATAGCTCGCGATGCATCGTCCTCGTCCGATGCAATTCTCCACACGCAGACATTGGAGAGCGGCGTTACACAATGTAAGAGCGAGCTTACGCATGTCGTGCGGTGCGTATTGTCATAAATTGTATTTAATCGCCGCGGTGTACGAGATTTAATGCAATCGTACTTATGACACGATTATATGTTCCAACGGCAATTAGTTTCCATTGCTTAATTCATATAGCGGCGGCACTTTCCGTGTCGGGTTTCGATTCGTGTGTAATTACCATATCCACTTGGCCTTTCGTAAGCACATTTACGATATAAAAAAGATCTTGTCCTTTCCATTCATGCATTTAACAGAATTTTAAGCCGAATTTTAGCAAAAAATAATTAGTAGTTAAATATGCAAAAATTGAAAGATGATTTCTTGCACTGTAGTAATTCTACTCTTGAACTCGGCAAAATGTAAAAAATA